CGGGTTGGGATTGGAGCCCGTGTGTGCAGAGGTTGCCTGCCTGGCATGCGGGATGTCAGGTTCAGGCCCGTGGAAGGTGACGCATCATGTCCACTTGAAATCATGTTGGGTGCTGGACGTGGTGTTGCACCACTGACAAGACAGTGGCTTATAAAGGAGAGGCAGATACCATGTTCATAAATTCATAAGAAAAAATTCAGTGTGACATTCAGGCCAGATTCAGGCTGTTGTTGCTCAGGGTGGTGACTGCTCATAGAATCACAGGATGGTTTGGGTTGGAAGGGACCTTAAAGCCCATCCAGTGCCACCCCCTGCCATGGGCAGGGACACCTCCCGCTAGCCCAGGTTGCCCAAAGCCTCATCCAGCCTGGCCTTGAACCCCTCCAGGGATGGGGCATCCACAGCTTCTCTGGGCAGCCTGTGCTCAGCCACACTGGTCGGCACCAGCGGGGAACGTTGGCCTGCAGCTCTGGGAGGCACTTGGCAGCTGCTCGGGTACGTAATGGCCCATATTGCAAGATGAGATTCTTGTATTTTAAACCAATTTTTAAGCAAAATGAAAAGAATATGGGATGGCAAGGCCAACCAACTAGTTTCATAGAGCTTTTCGTTTTTAACTGCTTATATGCAGAGCCGAAGCAGTTGGCATTTGAAATGCTTTGTGCTTTGCTCAGCTGCTTTTAAAGCATCTTCCTGTAAGTCATAGAGATATTAGAGGAAGAGTTCAAAAGTGGAATTAAATTATACCAGAACAAAATAAAATTTTGGCTTGAGAGAATATACTGCAGTGAGTAGATGCTGTTCTAAAAGACAGTGATGAGTCTGGGAGTGGAGCAGCATCTGTTTGGGATGGGTAATTTATGTGGGATAATGTCTGTCTACTGCGTGGAGCGAGCACGCGTTAGGAATTGAGACCAGACACGGCTGCCTGGGAAGCAACGTACAGAGAGCCCATCTGAATGAGATGAGGAAAGGGTTTCCCGAGTTGTTCCCTTTTACAGAGGGACTTTGCAGACTGCAGGCTTGGGATTTTTTTCCTCTTTTTTTTTTTTTTCTTTTTTTTTTTTCTTTTTTTTTTTTTCCTTCTGTACAAACCTCATTATGTGAAATCCCATCTCAACAGATTTTTGAGGTCTATGCTAAGACTCCATAGGTTGGAGACTTTTCTGCCTTATTTGTACTTCTCTGAGAAGACTTCTTTGGGGACTGGGTTAGCCAGCCTGACAATCCAGGTGCTGAAGATGCTTGAGTGGAGTATGGGGAGGAAAGGCCATGCTTGAAATCAGCCAAACTTCAAAAGGCTGCTTAGTCCCTGGAGTGGGAAATCAGGGAGACTTTTTACAATGATCTAGAGGATCCTTAAGCCCAGTTCTCATTGATTCTTTGATGCAAATTATGAGACAGCTGAAGTGCTCTGGAGTGATGACAGCTGAGAATTTGCTGGCGGCTGCCCAAATCGCATGAGCAGTGCTGAAAAGCTGGGCCATGGCTGCAAGGGCAGACGGCAGCACTGCAGAGGAGAAGGAGGTGCATGTGTGCAAAGAGCTGAAGTGGAGGTATCCTTATTCTGCCTCAGAAATGCAGTTAGGTAATTTAATCCTTTTTTTTTTTTAATTGTACTATAGCATAAGCACTGTGTTGTTTCTAGTTGAGCTATTGACTGCACCAACACGAGTCTGCTACATGTGGGCATAAGTTCTAGGATTTCCTTATAACTATTCTATAGCAAAGATTTGCTAAGGCTGAGAGAGAAGAGTCTGGATAGGATCTGTATGCCCATTGGAAAAGAAATACAGCTTTTATAGGTCCACTGGATCTGAGGGAGAGAAAGAGATCTTGGACTTTGTTTCCAAATTTGATGAATGAACATATTTCTAAATTTTGGGTTGAGGTAAGCTGTGCTTTCATTGATACAAAACCAAGAGCATGATATGTAGGTAAGCAGAAATTGGTTGTTGTCTGTACCTATAACCCTGTCACTGAAAATAGGCTCATGCCAAGCAAAGACAGCAAGCAAAAAAAAAAAAAATCAAAACTGTAAGTGAACATTGAAATTAGGGAGGGGAAGAAGGTGAAGTAAGGAGAACATACAAATGACCATAATGCTGAAAAAGTTTCATCTAGCTGAGTACCTTATTTTTGGTTGTGGTCACTCAGGGATGCTTAGAGAGAATATAAGAAAAAAGGAGAGACAACACAAGACATTTTTACCAGCTGCTCCAATTAATGGCTTAAGGTCTTCCCACGCGAGGGCTGCACGCAAAATACAATTTTTAATAAATGCTAGGATACCTTGCCCTCCTTTGATTTGTGTAATCCCTTTTTGAACCTGCTTATGTTTTGACATCCACAAAACTCTGCAGGAATGAATTCCATAATCTAATTAAATGTTTTGTGAAAAAGTACTTGCTTTTACTGGTTTTCAACCTCCAGACCAAATAACCTCTGGCTTTTTTTTATCTCAGGAAAAATTAATAATGATCCTCTTCACCTTTCCCATCCACGGTGGCATTTACGGACTGCTACTGTTGCAGTCTCTTCACTCCCTAGTAACTGATCTTTTTCCAAGTAGTTTTTCCTAGTTCTTTTTAAATTATTGCTAAAAGGACACAGCTCAGATCATGGCCATTTTGGATGAGGTTTGCACATACCCTTCAGGTCTGCACTGCAGAGCTCTAGAGGAGCCCCTCAGAGTGCCAAGGGTAGCAGTCTGCTTCACTTCCCCATTTACTGCTCTGCTTAAGTTTCTAAAACCAGAGGCACAAAAGGATTAACTTTTATACCATCCTTTATTGGTTAAATTTCCATATACCATCCCGTATTTGTTGAATTTCAGACCTCTGACTAGCAAAAGAATATACCTTATGCTACGCTGAGGTGAAGGTACTAGTGTGTGTCCCACGAGCTCCGTGAGTGCCCACCCGTGCGGTGGGACACCGTTTGCAGATTCCATCGTCCCACACACCGACAGTGGGGAGAGGTGGGGTGGTGCAGATGCATGTCTGTGAAGTCTTCAGTAGCCTGATGGCCATACACTGCCGGCTTGAAGGTGTTTTCCAGGGATGGCCAACGTGTCTGAAGGTGCTTTCCAGAAGCAACCACTCCTTCTTCTTCGAAGATAGGCAGCAGCTACACCGAGGGGTTGTTGGTGTGTGCCGGTATAGAGTGCTGTGGTTTCTGCGTTAGCACACGTGCTGCTGCTTTTTCCATGTAGGGTTCTGGATTCATTTGCTCCTGTCAATGTACATATGTGTTCCACTCCCACCTCCTCCATGTCTAGCTGAAAGGAATAGTAATTGAAGTATGCCGTACATTGCTAGGGCGTTTGCTGGGTAGTGTTCACATCGCTACTATTAGTACTTCAATGTTGACTTTTCCATTGTGTACTCTTACTCCATGGTTATGGGGGAAGCATATTCACCCAGGAGTAACTGGATAGCAAGTGGGATTGAGAAAGCCCTTCCAGTTTAAATATGTGGAGACTGGGGGAGAAAAACCCTCCAAGTGAGTTAAACTACAAAAGAACTGGTCATACCTTCCACTTGGATTCCGCTACTGTATTTTTCAATCCATGAGGAATTATTTTGTCTAAAAGAGAAAGTGTGATGTGTAGATCCTAATCAGATACAATATGAGAAGCCTCGATTAGATGCATTTTCCATGTAATAAAACCAATAAAAAGCCCATTCAAAGACACTAACGCCATTCTCGTGAACAATGAGGCAATTTGTCCTGCAGTGTTTGAACTCCATAGCTGTAACTTCAGAATAATTTTCTCCAGCAACACGCATATGTCTGGGGCTGTTTGGATTACTGTGTTTACCATACTGTAAGATATATTCTAAATGTATGCACTGAAGTCTGAATAATTTATTTTCTAGCCCCTTAGAACAATTTGGAGGATGTAATTCCGCAGGCAGCTTTTCTGGCAGGAGAGCGAGCGCGCACGTGGCTGTGTGTGTATCTCCTGGGGAGGGGAGGCAGGCTGAACCTGGGCTTTCAGAGTGAGCCGCCTGCTTTGCTGCTTCTCTCTGCTGAAGACAAATTTCTCATTTATACAGCAGAGTAAACCGCTTATTTCACAGCCAACTGCAAAGGTCGGGGCTTGCAAAGAACCCGTGACTCGTGTCCTTGTACTCACGATGTTGCAACTCGGGCACTGCTCAAGATTTACACTGGGGTCTGTGCTGGAACAGACCCTTCACTCAAATCTCCTAAGCCTTAGGGCTATGACACTATCCCTTCTGCTGTCCCACTGTGTTGACCTTGGAGTAAAAGATTTTGCAAAAAAAACCCCAACATTTATTGGAAAAAAAAAAAAAGTTAGAGGAAGCTGCATTTTGTTTCAGATTTTGGCACGGGGCTGCCTTGCTTGCAGGAGAGTGGATTATCATGAACAATAAGGCAAATAATGCATTACACATTTCACAAGGGAATTAAAAAATGCTTTTGTTAGTAGCCTGATATCTTTGAGGGGGATTTGTTTGTGGGGTTTTTTTTTTTAAAGTCAACTTTGCGCTCACTGCAGTCAATACAGACCCATGTGTGGCTGGCAGTAGATCAGGTTCAAGCTGTAGAGTTATCGCTGATCTCTTTAGTGTACTGTTTTCTGTTTTAACTATGACAGCTTCACTGTTTGCATGGAAGCTCCCAAATTGTCAGGAGTAGCCCCGTTAATGGTTTTGTTTCATTTCACATCTCAACTAAGCCCTGAAAGCTGTCAGACTTAGTCTCATCGCTCTGCTTCTGACTGTTTGGCCCAAAGACTGGGGGTTGGGGATGGGGTAGGGAGAGAAGGTGGAGGAATTGGAACATGACAGGTAACTAAGTAAAATTATCTGTAACTTAGCAGCTCCTTACATACTAACACAGAGAAATGGAAACAGGCACCGTAGAACCAACTACAACAGTTTTCTCTTTGCTCTGATCCTGAATAAATAAACATGATCTCTCCGGTTCCTGGATCTTAGACTCAGAATTAGGCTGCTGCTCAGGCCGGAATGGTGGGGGGCGACCCTTTTGGATGTTTGGGAACAGGAGACACTCTGCTCTCATTGGAAAGGCTCCTGTGGCTGTCCCGGTGGGTCCTTGTTCCCGTAAGCATTTCCATAACCAGGTGTGTGAGTGTTGTTGTGGTCATTGAACAGAGGCTTAGAGGTGTGCCTGGCTGCTGGGTGGAAAGAGGGGTTTAAAGAGCAGCTCAGACTAGAGTGAAGGGCACTCTGCGTTTCCCAGGGCCTGCTGTGACAGCTTAGTGACTCTACTCAAGGACCGTGAGGGGACATTCTGGTGTGGGAAAGGGAACAGGGCTGAGCTAAGGGCGAGCAGCCCCCAGTAGTGTGTGCTGACATTTCCGCAGCAGCGCCTCGTGAAACCCAGTTTGAGCTGGATGGTTTAACAGTCAAAGGATCCCTTTGTGCGTTTCAGGGTTTGGTTAATCAACCTGAGGAAGAGCTGTGTATTATCTCCTCAAAAATAGGGAGAGCAGGAGCTGCTAGAGAGCCTGATGTATGCTAGAGTGTCTCTGAATCAAAGGCAGCGTAGTGAGATGCTCCTGCTGACCAACTGACCTGAAATATTCAGCACTGATCTAAAGGGCTACAGCACAGTGGTGGCATTCTGCATGAACCATCTCCTGGTTTTGTCATGTTTTGTGCCACTGGTGAATTCCCAGTTTCCCCAGACATGAATGACTTTGGAGGGAGAAGATGCTGGAATCAACTGTCCTAAAGGCAACAACGACTCAAGCATTATGCATTGTACATCGTAAAGGATTTACTGGGCGCCAGGGGAGCTGGGAGGCAGGTCTTGCCTTCACCGAACACAGCAGCAGCCTTGGCAAGACCCACCTCCCATAATCCAGGTGACAGTTGGAGGGGGTTTTTTTCTGGTTTTTTCCTTAGGCCATGCTGATAGCTTTTGTTTCTATCCCCTCAGTTACCCTAAATGATTTTGTATGGGTTACCTTCTTGAAGTATTCTTCTCCCTGCTCTCCCCTGGTTCTTCTTCAATCATTTTAGACCATGTTCACGATCATGGTCCGTAAGTGGGCAGAGGGAAGGTATTTCCAGGGCATATGGTCAAGGCACGGACTGTCTCTCCGTGGTGCTTGTAGAGGGGACTTGGCGAGAGGGTGACTATGGTGACACGGGATGGCTGTGTATGAAAATGCTGCTGGATGAGAGGATTTCACTCCCTGTGTCCCGGAGTCTCCCTTCTCCCAGTGGAGACGCGCAGGTTGGTGCAGCTGAAGGATGTTACACTGGGGTAGAGTTCTGACCGAAACAGACTGGTTTGCAACTGGGGTGGGGAGTCTTGCCTTCAGACACAGCTCTGCATTGTCCCTTATGGAGGGGGAGTTCAGTGGCATGCAGAGGCAACCTTAGCAATTAGGGTAAGAAATGGCTTTGGCTTTGTGTTTCTCTTCTGTGTTTCAGTTCTGAGGCTCAGCTCTGCCCCAGGATTAGCTTTTTCCTTCCCCAGTTCGTGAGCTGCCTCATCCACTTTGTGCAGACATTTAATTGATATGCTCCTATGTCTGGCTTACTGCTCTTTGAACACAATTTCTTGCCTAGCCTTTAATTGATTTGGATAATAAAGTGCAATTATAAAACTCAATAAAAATGGGTTATTTTAAAGGGAGAGCAGGGAAGAAAGAAACCTAAGTGATGCTCTGCTGTGTGACTGTATAATAATGCACAATCCCCTTTGGTTTAATTCTATTTAATTGCTCAGCTTTACTCAGATTGTTACAATTCTGCAGGCTTTCTCGCAATTACAAGCAGCACACTTATAAATATTTGCATTTTTTAAAAATTCCTTGTGTATATAATAGTTGTAAATTGTATGTGTTTGTGGTGTCTGCTGCCTTGCTTGTGTGCCTGGGGAGCCTGCCGCTACTGCTCCCCTCTCAAACCTTTCCTAAACCAGCCGAGCCCTCGGCTGAGGGTTGAATTACCAAACCAGTGGCCGCATGAGAAGTAAACATCTGCTTGGTGTTTGTAGTATTCAGCTCTCTTGCTTCCAAGGGGAGCTGGACCTTGGACAGGAGCTGGGAGGTATCAGGTGCCCTCCCAGGAGACGATGCTCTAGTGGGATTTGCTCCTAGCATGTGCCAGGAATGGGAGATGGTGTGTTGGGATGGGAAGAACTGGAGATCGAAAGTGCTTCAGCCATTCTGGGCAGGTCTCTGAGGTACCTAAATAGGATATGGATTTTTTCAGTCTCTTTGAGATCTGAATCTTTGGGAATTTCTCATTCTCTCAGTGTCTGCTTTTTCACTAGAGAGGAAGAGACCTGATATTTGAAGTTGTGTCTTGGATTTAGGAAATCTGGGTCATTTTCTTGGGTGTTAAACCTTACTGATAAGTTCCCCCTCTATAGTTTTTTTTTTCTTTTCTTTCTCCTTTGTCTGTTTTCCCTACTGAAAGTGCCATAGGGAGAGCTCATTCCTTAGTGGGTGTGACTGCTGGATTTACCCCAGCAGAGCCATTCTGCCGCTGCCATGTTGATATGGCTTAATAGCTGGGGTTGCTTGGGTATGATAACTGAATTTCTTTCTTTGTCTTTATTTTCGCAGTTGGGAGGCTGTGGAATCCTTGGAGTAGGCATCTGGCTGGCTGTTACTCAAGGGAACTTTGCCACCCTCTCATCGTCTTTCCCATCCCTGTCAGCTGCCAACCTACTGATCGTCACGGGGACATTTGTCATGATCATTGGCTTCGTGGGCTGCATAGGCGCCATCAAAGAAAACAAGTGCCTCCTGCTGAGTGTGAGTATTAAGCTGCTATGCTGTTGCGGTGTTTGCTCTCTTAAGGTGCTGGTGCTATTCCAATGCATGTCACAGTGTCCTGTATTGCAACAGAAGTTGCCCGCTTGACATGGATGAGATGTGAGTCATGCTTGAATTGGTCTTCGGTAGCTCTAAGGAGCTGCTAGATCATTTCTGATCATGCTTTTAACCTTTCCTTGGAGGATGACACCTGCAAGAATGGAATGGTTAGTGGTGCTGTGGGTTTCCTTGAAGTCTTCAGAGAAGAGGGAGAGGTTTCTGAAGACATCTTTTGCAGTATACCCTTCAATTATTTTTTACTCAGGTTTGGTAGCTGTCTACTCCAAATGTCTACCCCGGTGGGATTGATGATCTGAAGTCCTGGGCAGAAAGATCAGTGTAGCTTGATTTTGGTTTAGAATGGAAATGAAGTCCTGATTTAGCAATGCTGGTTTTGCCAGTCATTAACTCTCAAAAGGCTGAGATGTCAGGAAGCAAAGGTACTAGCACAAGGAGACTGCTGTGAAGTACAAAATTAAGAAGATACCAGCTGTCCATAATTTAACAGAGGCTTGAGCCACATCCCTGGTGTATTTTATCAAAATGTAGTTGATGCGGCTCAAAGCTGGCATTTATTAGTACCCAGTGCCTGCTGTAGGTGGTGTTAGTGTAGATTTTGGGTCCTGTTCAGCTGAAGACCAGGAAGTGAGGTGATCTTGATGTTCGAGTCCAGGACTTCACTGTGAGGTTCGGCAAACCTCGGAGTGAAGCAAAGCTGGGGTTTAGTTTGGTGAGCTGGTGATTCCTTTGTAAAAGGCTGCTCCTCACTCTGCTTCACATCCATTTTGCTCCCCTGGGAACTGCAGAATGAGTTGAGGCTACAGCCTTTTATCCCATATGGTTTGTTGGCCCCCCTTTTGGCAAAGACCAGGTCTCACTTGATCAGCCATCACTGCTGCAGCGGGGGTGAACGTGCTGACCCAACCCTAGATGGGAGTTTACGGGTACTGCTCCTCCTGACACATACTGCACAATACTCGGAATCTAATGCCCTTCAGTGCATGATGTAAGGACTGTACTTGGTGGATCAAGTTAAGTAACGCAAAGGAATCTAGATTCATGCAGGAGCTCTTTGCATGGGAGAATTGAGAAGCTTGATGTGACCCGGTCCCATCGTTTCACGCTGCCTGCCTGTCCTTGCCTTGGTGTACCATGGCTGTGCAGCCTGGCCTCTGTTTCACTTGATTTTCTTCATTAGAAAGTTAGAGCTCATTACAGCTACTTCTTAATGAGCTCTTAAGATTTCCTTGAAGACACTTATGGCATTATAAGCGTGTGGACCACGTGGATGTGCCTGGTTTAACCAAGAACAATTTGGACCTCCCCTTGCTGTTACCTCCTGTAGTGCACCCGTCCTAGTGACAGGTTGCTGCTAGTCTTTAGACCTGCAAGGACTGGCAAGACAAATTCCCCATGCAACAGGAGCACCTCTTGTTCTGCTCCTAAAAGCAGAAGAGGAAAGGATGTGGCAGTTACAAGGTGGGGAAGGATGCGGTTGGGAGGATGTGCTGCTGTTATTGGGATGAGTCATTTGGAGGACGACATTGGAGATATTGCGGGAGGCATGGAGCACTGCTGGGATCCAGAAATGGACTGGGGAGGAGGAGGGCAGGAAGAGCTACTAGCTCAACCCACCTGCGTTGGAGGAGCAGAATTTTATGTGGTGGTAGACACAGCAGGGTGGTTTTGTGTGGTCTTGCCTTATGAATAGTGCTACTGCTTGATGATGTGATAAGGAACGGGATTTCCTGAGGAGTCCGCTTGCGTGGATGAGAGATGAGCAGTGTCAAGAAGACATTTCACTCTATTTATTTCATGCAGAGCAGATGCGACTGGTCCTGGATCTTTGTGTTCTCCACGTATGACATTTGTACTGGGTTGTCAGAGCAAACCTGTGAGCTCTTTGCTGTTAGGCTGCCGTGACATTAGGTGTAAATGATAATAATGGCTTACCTCTGGCATTTGCTAATGACTTTTGAAAGAAAGGAGGACAGAGGAAGTGTTTTAAGCAGTAAGGGACAGATGGAGAAAGGAGGGCGAAAGCAGAAGTAAAGCTTAATTTGTAAATGAGATGTTTGCAGAGCTGCGTGCAGTGGTCAGGAATGATCCACGTTAGCTCTGAACAGCGTGTTTGGATAGCCCAAAGCTTCACAGCTTTACTGACTTGAAAGGACTTGCCTGGTGTCCACCAGCTAAGGAGCTGGCAGATATTCTTCATTCAGTGGCAATGTACAGCCAGGAAATGCCTCATTATTCTCTTAGAAACAGGCCCGCTCCTATTTCTCTGCGTTCAGAGGAATAGAACAATATGAAAAGCTAAAATAGAGTGTGAAAACAAAAATTAAAAGAAAACCTCAACCATCTTATGCGTTCTGCAAAAAATCCGCAGATGGAGCGAGTTGTGCAGCTGTCATTCCAAGATCTCGGTGAACAAAGAATGGGTACTTGCAATGATTCTTGTTTCCTCCAGCTACAGTGGGAAAGAAGAAGAACTTTTCCATCATTAGATCTCCCTGGGGAAATCAAAGCAACTAGCTTTTCTTGAAATAGGTATACAACCTGGTGTATATAACCTTGCATCTGAATGTAGATGCAAATTGATGAGTGAAGCCGGGGGACAATGCTTTCTTGTTTCAGTAAGATTCCTTTGACATCTCTGCTATTCTTGTTGCTGAAGATTGTATAACAGAGATCCCTCTGCTAGAAGCTCAACTGTAGTTAGAAGATGGCAGCTGTGTTCTAACGGTAGGGTTACTGTCCTGAACAGGTGACACAGGTAATGAGTCTGACCTGAGAAGGTTGGTGTATGGGCTCCCATTGATTGCTTCCATAGGTATGTCGTCCTGCATTGCAAACCTCTATAGGCTATCTTGAAACAAAATTAGGAATCTACTTTTGCTCCCTTCCCTTTTGCAAATGTATTGTCGTTCTAGTGTCCATCCATAATTTTCATGAATTTTAGCAAACATTTAGCACGAGTGCTCTTAACCCCATTGTGATGCGTGTGCTTTTCAGCGGAGGGCAGGTCCCGGCAGGAGGTGAGGCACCGCTGGCTGTACTGCTCCAGCACCATCCGTTCTAGGACTGACTTCAGGCAGGTGCTGTGTGCCTGTGTGCCTGCCATTGCTCTCTGCTAAAGACATTTATGCTGGATTAAATACTTTTTTCTCTTTCATGCTGAAATGTTGACCTAGCTGATCCTTAAGGGTCTGTGCAAACATTGTCTTTTAGGTTGATTGCTTAAGTTCTGTGTTTGAAGAGATAAAACTCTCTTTCATACCTGTTTAGCAGAGATGTATATTTGTATGCTTGCACTGAAAAATGTCTTTGTTCCATGGATAGTCCAGGTTAAGAATCTCAGCTCTAGACATTAAATGATGCTGGATTATGTTGTTCATTAGCTGTATGACAGTATCACCTGCAGGCAGCCTGTGAGATCAGGTGCTTGCTTGGTATCGAACTCCTGGTACAAGGAGGTCCCTGCCCAGCAGAGCTGACCATGGAAAGTATTATTATCCTCATTAGACAGATGGGGAGCTGCAGCAAAGTGAAACAAAGAGCCTTGCGTTGGTTACACTGGGAGGTTGTGGGAGAGCTGTGAAGCAAGCCCAGCTTGTCCAAATCTCAACTCAGTCCCTCTGTCATCCTCCTTCGATTGCAGCAGAACGTGTCGCGCTGTCCTCTGTCCTACCTTTCAGAAGTACTTAGTGCCATGTTTCCAGAATAGTAATGACAATTTTGATTTCCTTCATTATGTGTATTATGTCCAAATGACAAATAAATATCCCACAGCAAGTTAGTTCTCTATTTTTCCTTTGTTGAAAGTGCCTAGTTGGCACAACCAGCGGGTTTCCATGAGCCCCATGTCCCAGATGAGCCCGTCAGCCTGATTGCAACGTTACCTTCAGTTAGACAGGAAACAGCACACTCAGTGCAGCTGCCAGACGGGGCATGCAAACATGGGCTAATGCAAATTTTTTGCAAATAGGAACTTACTTTTGGTCCAAAAAATCATAGTCACTCTTAAAAACAGTATTGGGCCCTTTGTGAAGGAACATGGGTGTTTTTTTTTATTTTCTCCAATGATTTGGTACAAAGAACATATTCTTCTCCTGGGTGGGATGTGCGGCATGGCCAATAATCCAGTCAAAGGAGGCTGAGGATGTGTCGTGCTTGGGTAGACCCTGAGGCCTAACGAGGCTTTAAGCCGACGTAGGGGATCCTTCACCGCGTACTGCCCATACAGCAATATATTGGAAAGTGGAAAGCGCTTGAAGGAGACAAAATGCTGATTCCTCTCTGATTACCCAAAACGAGCCTGCCTTCTTGTAAAGCACCAAGACTGGGTATGTTCTGTCGGATCAGGGGTTAGATCAGTAGGAAGATGGCAGATATGCCCTCTTTCCCCTTATTCCTGATTTGTGGATAAGCCTGATTTTTTTTTTTTTTTTTTTTTTTTGTAGAAAAGCTGAAACAATGATTAATGAGAAGGGGGAAAAAATAATAACAGATCTATGTGTTCAGCTTAATTTAAATGAAGACTTCATATTAATAAGCAAGGAGCTCATCACAGTTGCTGGAATGAATGAGAATTAAACCTTGATGCTAGGTCAGGAGCAGCTGTTGGGAAGAGCTGATACCATACACTCCCCTGAATGACTGTCCAGACATCAAAAGTCTCTTATTTATGGAATAGTCCCAGGCGAAAATGAGTGCCCGTGATGTTTTGTACTGTGCTGTTCAGAGTTTTCTGAACTTCAGCCAGCTCATCTGTAAGTGAAATAGCAATAAAGGAGATGAGGAAGGAGTTGATGAATAGGAAGAAAAGGAGAATAAAAAGCCCTGCTGTTTTCAGTGGTGTCAGTGGATCCAGTCGGAGAGCTGAGAGCTGGAACTCCATTGGTGACAGGGAATTTATTTCAAAGAAAATAAATGGGAAA